ACTATGCCCGGGTACCCATACCATGTTAATGGTGGCTTTCGCGGCAAGCTCGTTTAGGGTACTTCTGCATTCGGCAGCCACCTTTGAGGAAGTGTTACTGAACTGCAAAGATTTGATCGCTGCTTGGCTGTCAGAGTAGATAGTGACGGATTGTGGACAATTTGTGCCACCTTTAAGCCAAAGGGCGGCCTCCGTTATGGCTGTTAATTCCGCCTGAAAAACGCTGCAGTGGTCAGGGAGCCGCCTGCTTAAGTTTACCGATAGTTCTTTGGAGTAGATTCCGCTTCCAACTTTATTGTCGAGCTTTCACCCGTCCGTTAATATGGCGGCAGATCCTGGATCTAAGTCCGAGCGATTTACCCAGTTGCTTCTGTCTGGAATTCTGGTAGAAAACCTATTTTCGAAGCAGAGATGTGGACTAATGTAATCCAGCTTACGTAAGGTTGCTGGAATGGTGCTCAGAATTTTTGAGTGACCGAATCTATGGTCTCTCCATGTATGGGCTGCATTCAGTCTAGTTGCATTGCAATTGGCCTGATATCTACCATAGAGATCGGTAGGGAGAAGATTCAAAACAGTCTCCAGAGTTCTACTGGGAGTAGAGGGCAGGGCACCCGTAATTAACATGGTTGCCGCCCTTTGTACTCGGTCCAATATGCCTCTGTAAGTGGATTTTTCTAGAGCCGGCCACCGCACGGTAATCCCATAGAAAAGGATGGGTCGGACAACCGCCTAATTCATCCAGTGTATTATGTGTTGTTTCAGACCCCATCGTTTCTCTACCGCTGCCTTACAGGCGTAAAGGGCGGTAATCGCTTTCCTGTATCGTTCCGAAAGGTTCCGCCTCCAGTCCAACTTCCTGTCGAGAATTAAGCTGAGGTATTTAACCGCGTTGGAGAGTGTAGGTCCCACCCCGTTTAGGGAGGGGGGCTGAAAAGACGGTATCTTATATTTCCTCGTGAAAAGTATCATTTCGGTCTTGGTGGGATTAACTTTAAGTCCACACTCCCTCGACCGGCTGTTCACGAGACAGAGNTGGAGATGCTTACCCGTGACTGTGAGTGCAATGTCGTCGGCGTACGCTACGACGTAACAGCCGGTACTCTGCAGTCTCATCAGAATTGAGTTTACTGTAAGGTTCCAGAGTAGGGGTGAGAGAACTCCTTCTTGAGGAGTACCTCTCGTTGCATGCCTGGTTATCGACGCGCCCCCCAACTCTGACGAGATAATTTTTCTTTCAAGAAGAAGTCTTATAAGCTCCACCAGAGGCCGCTCCAGCCCCACTTGGGAAAGTGAGCCCACCACGGCCTCTGGAAGAATATTGTTAAAGGCGCCTTCTATGTCAAGAAAGATGCCTAAGGTAAATTCATTAAAGGCGAGTCCTTTTTCAATTTTTGGACACAATTTCGTGGAGCACAGTGTCCACGGATTTGCCTTTAGAATAAGCATGTTGACACTCCGACATGTCCTCAGAGGAAAGACGCTGTCTGATGTGGGCCTCAGTAAGTCTTTCTAGAGTTTTAAGAAGAAAGGACGTTAGGCTTATTTGCCTGAAGTCATTGGGTTTTACCTGAGAGACCCTTCCACCTTTCGGTATGAAGATCACCCTAGCCTTTGTCCATCCTCTAGGAATGCCAAGATCCGGTTTGTTTCGCAAGATTAAAAAGCTTTCTGCTGGTTCGCCTCTGGGAGGAGATCTCCGGATTCCACCATTGGGGTCTCCTTTTGCACCTTGGACGTGTTGCTGGGCAGAAAGCTTTAAATGCTATGTCGCAGGCTTTGGTGACAAGGTCTATGGCTTCAGCAATCTTTGACGATGAGTCCAGCTCACCGGGAGAAACAGACTTTGTCGCTGGAGGATGCGCTTCCTCAGTTGTTAACGGTATGCCGTGCATACCGAGAGAAGCGTCTAGGGCTACCGAGAGCTACATTTTATATTTGGTCCAATCGGTCCGCCTCATATTCCTGAAACACGAAAGAGGTGGGGCTCTTCGGGAGAGCCCAAAAGGAAATATATTGATGATCGGAGAATGAATGTTCACTTAAGACATGCCAGTCCCTGATGTACTCAGAGAAGTAGTTTGAGACTAGCGTAATGCCAGAACTTCCTTTCTGTTAGAAGTTATAAACGTGGGTTTATTTGAAGAACTGCTTATACATAGATCAGAACTGAGAATAAAGTCGATTAGTGACTCACCTCGTTGGTTGATGTCGCTGGAGCCCCATAAAAGATGATGAGAGTTTGCGTCAGACCCGATTACCATGGGAAGCTTCCTGTAGTTGGCCTCCTTCACTACGCCCTGTAGTCGATTTGGCGGAAAGTCTTGACAGTCGTGCGCCATATATGAGGACACTATCCAGATGGATTTCGTCCCCAGCTGCACGCTGACACAAACGGTGTCCTCGTCACTATACTGAGAGAGTAGAAAATAAGAAAGATTCTTTTTAATTAGAATACAAGCTCGAATCCTACTTGTGACTGGTGCTGATACCACCTGGTAGGCGCCAGAGTTTAAACCGCAAGCCTTGTTCTTGACGATCCAAGGTTCTTGGATAAGAACGAGATCCTCTGCTTTGTTGCCGAGGTGTAGAAGTAGGCGGACGAAGCCGCCTTAGGGTGGTGCAAGTTAATCTGTAGCACTTGCACCATTATCGGAGTCCGGGGGAGGGTCCTCGTCCATCGCTTCAGGCTCCTCACCTTGGGAAGCTACGATAGTGCAATCGAGCTGCTCCGGTTCTGAAACCAGAAGCTGGTCCTCTGGTAGTGTGGCCCAGCGGCTGTAGACCGACCCTACGTAAGCGGAAATTGAGCACGTATCGCTCTCAGACTCCGTCGCGGTGTCGGATACATCCGCAGGGCACACTTCCTCCATATCAACTGGTCCGCTCGGGGCGTTGCCAGGGTTAGATATTTCTCGCGTCGGTTCGCTCGTGGCGTTGTGCGACGCATTGAGGCCGCTCCAGGCGCTACCGTCCTCAGTCTTGTGAGACTCCTTCTGCTGGTGGAGCTTCAGTGTGTTGGAGTAAAAGCCGTAGCTTATTACACCACCACAGCTCTCGAGAACTGGGATGGAAACATCGTTAATCACGAGTGCGACGTAAGGCTGCTTCTCCTTGACCTAGCCAACTCGAGTTATCCTCCAATCATTGGTGGGTAACCCCTCGTTGCCCAGCTGAATGAGTTCCAGAACCTCATTAGGCTCGGATGGTTCGGCTGGTACCCAGGCCCAGGCTCGTGGCCTGCTAGTGATCTCGTCCCTATGCACAGCAGCCAAATCTGACCCCGGCCCCAGCTGCCCCATAGAAGCGATTGCCTCCTTATACAGCGTAGCTGAGCGCTCGTCAGCGCAGGAGACTAGCTTCACCCTACCTTGATGCCATCCGGCATCGCGTATTACCGGGGCAGGGCCAGGATGCTTCTCCAGTATCCCTTTGTACACCCTGCACAGTCCCATTAGGACAGACTTCCAATTATCTGGAGATATATAACAGTCAGGGTTGCCCCTATCCAGCACGGCCGCTTCGCTGTAAGTCTGAGAAGGCAGTGATGCAGGCTGAGGGGGAGGGGGGTTCGAGGTTTTGTGCCTCTTGGATTCACTCGAGGTGCCCATTCTAGTTTGGTTTCTTGCTCCACCGTCAGCTCATTTTCGGGGATAGTCCCGTTGAGCCCTGATGGATGGAGCAACCTTCTTTAAGGCTTTGGAGCATCAGGGGCGCTGATGCGAGTCATTTGCCCCTGACTCTGCTCAAGCGGAAATTGCGCAAGGTGCAGGCTCGGACGTCGAGGGAGACGGGCCGCCTGCGTGCCTTCCACCGGTTTAGAACTTCCCTCGGGGGGTTTTCTCATTCCGGTGTCTTCGGGGGTAGGCTTGCCCACGGGGGGTATAGCTTTTCCCTCAGACGGTGCAGGTGACCTGAAAGAGGTTTGGTGGTACCGTTTAGGTCCAATCGTTGCCGTCAAAGCGGTTTCCGAGGTTTTGGACTTCGTTTTCTTGCCGCGTCCGACGGCAGCACTTATACCCGTGCGGGGATCCGAGGCTCTTTTAAAATTATTCATCATCAGTGTCTTTGGTCACCTACTCAGATGAGACCTTTCGGTGACCGTAAAAAGTTGAAGGGGAAAAGAACGGTCGACTACGGAAGAGCCACTTGCCGCAGCAAGCCCACCGTTACTCCCGGAGGCGGACAGGTATCCGGGAGGCGCCGTTAGAATACAGTCGGAAAGCCCCCTGACTGCAAACCATCCAATGGGCACGGTGACGCATGCCACCCTGGATTAGGGGGAGAGGGAAGATTTGACTCCCTCCGGGTCTAGATCCGTAGTGTTCTGTGGAAACAGGGTCACATCTTGAACGATGCGATATCGCGCACTACGGTCTTGATGTGGGAGTGGCTAGGCACACGGGATCGCCCACGTGCTGTGTTACGCTTCATCCACACCCTGCACTTTTGGCTCGACCCCAATCTGAAATGTAAGTATGTCCATTTACTTAATCGCAAACGGATTAATAATCAAAGTGGCAGAGATTTTAGCGTTTTTTACAACAAGTATTTTTGATGTTCAAATTGTACTTAAAATCGGTAAATTGTACTTTTGTACTTTTTAAAACTTATTGTACTGAAAAAAGTGCAATTGTACTTAAAATATTTACACTGGCCCGGGCCCATCTTTAATCTCAACCATTGAAGATGACTGAACAGTTTCTGATGTTTATTTGATGGCAGTAAGTAGGATACCCAAAAATACCTGGGCTGAGGCCTTTTCAGCCGAATGGGCAGTATCCTATTAAAATAACTTTAATCCTCTACCGCATCCTAAACCTAATATGGTGGCACTACTTTGGCAATTTTTGTCGCACTTAACGAGTGCTATAAAAATATATCAAACTGATTAAATGCATTGAGAAGTTAACAACACTGCCGAAAAAAACTTATACATACAAATGTAGCACTGTTTTAGGGCAAATTTTAATGATTCGTTTTTTAAATCTTGCTTATAGATCCAGACCTGGATCCCTACAGGTCTTCCCGAAAGTTTTCTGCTCCTGTATCTTTGGATGATCCCGTTGGAGATGACAAGGAAAAACAACGACTTCGTCAAGAACGTCTTATGACTGTTAACGAGGAAGTGTTGGATGAAATTGGCTCGGAAAAAAAGAAGGCCCGCCTATTAGATGAAACTAAACGACGAGAGCAAGAGTAAGAAAAATATAAATTAGTATAAATTAGGGAAGCGAGAGGGAAAATTTGTAATTTTTTTATAACCAGTTATTTTTTAATTATCATTTTAAGTACTAATTTGACTTTTTAACGCCACTTAAATCACCCTCATTAAAAGCAATCCGTCGGTATTACTATATCTATGTTGTTTTTAATCTTTTCGGCTAGGCCCTAATTTTTTTTTTTGTTAAAACACTCTGCGACAAATTGAAGGTCAAGGTGTAGGGGAGAGAAATTTGGCAGGCTTCCAAAACGTATCCATACAATGTTTGGATACTCTTATACTGCGGTATTCAAAATGTTTGTATATGCAGAGTTGCATATTTTAAATATTGAATATAGCAATGAACAATTTTCAGAATTTTCCATTTTTAAAACACCAATGGTAACCAATAACAAACGAAGCATCAACTTTGTTTCTGATGCGCGAGTATTCTTGGCCCTCCTATAACTGAAAACCGGCTTACCGACCAATGTTGAAGTTGCAAGATCATAGAAGAATATTACGCACGCTTGGCAGAGATCTCACATGTACAAATAAGACTATCGGTAAAACTCATGACATCGAAAGGGATTAGTATTCCATATGGTATCACAGCGCAACTATTCTTGGCCTATGTGTGAGGAGGATTCTGCTCTTTATTCGTTTCAATTTAAATTAAAAACGCCAACGCAAAAGATCTTATTAGGCGCCGCGAAGCAAGCCGGCATTGGCTAGTCGATTAATAAATAAGACTTTGTGAGTAACTCTGCTCCAGCGCCACCAGCGTGTTATCACAGAATAAACAGTATACAGAAGACGCATGGCGACTATCCAAACAATTTGAATTTTATGGTATCACAAGCGGCGCTGCCTCTGTTACTTTAGCAGTATTTTCACTCGGCTGACGATGTTAATTCCATAGTCGCTATGACGACCAGATGTCAACTATGTTTTCCATCACGATCAGCGTTGCCGTTTTGGCCAATTGTATATTTTTTAATACCGTTTTTCTAAATTTTATTATCTGATACTGTTTTGTTCCCAAATGCCTTATTTTGATACTCTCGGCTGGCAGAAATGAATTTTCAAAAACTATGAATAGTACTACTAGTCTAAAGGCAAATATTTTTTTTCTTGTCATTTGAAGTCTCACAATTTATATATAGATAGTTATAAGTTTGATTTGGTAACTCTTATAAAGGAAACACAACCCGGAATTTCTTTGCACACGCCACTGTTATAGGACCCCTAGGGGGTCGTTTGTACTAAATTGCACAGTTATTGCGCTAAAATAAAAATAATTTTTATATTGTGCTCATGCTTGTGTTATTGTACAATAATTTGTGCTTCGTATGGCGACCACAGCGAAATTTTTAGTCTAGTTTTGATTTTGGTGTCCAGATCGTGCTGTAAACTATGGGTAAAAGCGTAGAAAAAAAAAATTTGTTTTTTTTAATTTAGTTATTTTTTACGTTTTAAAGCTGAAGCTATCAATATATACAACGCACATTCATATTTCTTGCACATATTTACTTGAGCAACGTTTTTTCAAAATAAGGTTTGCGCAATTTTTTGCTGTAGTAAATTCCACAATATTGACTTGTACAAGTCTCGGGTTGCGTAAGGCTTTTGTGTGGTTTAGGGGCCCTATAAGTTTCTTTTTCATTATGCAAATAAGCAGACAGAAGCAAGAAATATATATTTTTTTATAACTATGGATTTAATTATAAAATCTTATTTAATATTTGTTTTTTAAATAATAGTTTAACAAACAACAGTTTTGTTTGCTTTTGATACTTTTTCTGCTTGGCAACAGTTACATTTTTTTCAAGCTGGCGGCAACGCTGATCACGATGTGTGTTTATGGCGAGAAGTTAACTTCATGTTATTCATAGTGGACGTGATGTTAACTCCTCTGCTCTGTTCCGGGTCGCCATGTTATTCATAGTGGTCGTAATGTTAACTTCTCTGCTCTGGTCCGGGTTGTAATATTACGTCCGCCGAAGAAAAATAAATTTGTATGTGGTGCGTCTTCTGTATACTGTTTATTCTGTGGTGTTATCTAGTAGGCTACAATAAGACCATATATGCAAGGTATAACCTCCGACAATTTTTTTGAGTTTAGTCTGAACAACGATAACGGCTATCATTTTATGTATGTATGTACATATAAGTATGTTTCGAATGAATAAAAAACCATAACCATGGATTAACAAAATCGGTTCATAAATAGGACTTTTATCGGGTCATAGTCAGCAAAACTTACAGATTAAAGAGAAGAAGCCAAACTGCCACGCTAAAGCTATTTACATTACGAAAATAAATTACGGCAGTGCTGCCATATCACTCTCTTTCTACGACTTAACATGCCGCGGGTGAGAATGCTGGCTTCAGTGCTACATTGAATGTGCACTATGCAAGGCTTTTCACAAACTCCTCGTTTCAACTGAAATAATCGACTGAATGGCCTAATCGCCCGCTCTCGGGGAAATACACTAACACATGTTCAAAATATGATAGTGTTAGTGTGCCCATCACTGGTTTAAAAAGTTCAGAGTAGGCCAAGCAAAATCATTTGGGTAGTCCAAATCTGCGAACTGTGGCATAATAGCCCGAACACAATGAAAACGACGAGCTACTGACCACAGCTGTCAAATTATTGTAACACGTACTCTTATGTAGATAATTATTTTGGCGACGACCGGTACGCGACGGCTGTGGTTGTGGACAGATTAGATCTATTTCTATTTTTCCAGCGACAGATAAGATTCTTCCTCTTCTTTTATGTCAAACTCATACAAATTCATGATGTCGCTGCCGCGTTCAAAATAATCATGTCGTCATCGACAAAGCATTTAGATAATGAAGATAACAAATTGGAAGCTGTGGCCCGTAGCTCGTCGTTTTAAATGTGGTCAGAATTTAAGATAGCTGACTTATGCCATCTTTCAACTAGCCCGTTGATTGTGGGTGCTAAGGCGTTGTCCTTAGGTGGGTTTCCCCCAGTGTCTGCATTAAATTGCGAAAAAGTGATTTTTCGAACTGTTTGCCTAGGTCTGTAGTTATGTCGATTGGATTTCCAAATTATGAAATCCAGCCGTTAATGATGGCTTGGCTACTGATTGAGCCGTCATATCGACTATGGGAATTACTTCCAACCAGCGTGTAAAACGATTAACCAGCTGTGCGCCTGACCAGTGTAGCTACGCAATATCGCTGAATTAAATTTTTTTGATACTGCAAACAATGTCGGAAAAACTCTCTGCTGTCGTGAAGATCCCCGCCACACGAAACATTCGGTCATAAGTCGTGCAGTTGGTATTGAAACAGGATGCGACAAGTCGTGGGTAGCGTCGAAAACTTTTTGTGACACAAGGGCGCCAGAGATTAGATGAATCATCGAACAGACCTAAACAAACTCGCCGAACAAACCGCTAAACAATACAATAAATTGAAGCAAAAAGTAAGCGCGGTCGAAAGAACTATTAGCTCACTTGTTAAATTTAAACTTCAGTCGCATGATATTATATCCGAACTTGCCGAACGAAAAAGCGGGAGACAAACGTATTACCGGAGCCCAAAAGCCTGTTGGCAGCGATCGTTTAAACGATGATAGTAGCAGAATCGCTGCTCTAGTCCCTGACGAGATTGCAGAAACCGTACCAACCTTTAAATTGCAAAGACGAAGAAGAAGTTGCTGTTTCTCGGACTTTGTTAAAAATAAAAAACTGTAGAACGAATCAAACATCGCTTTCAAGGCTGATTTAGCCCCCTTACAACAAAAACATCTTAAAGGACTGCGATCTAAACTGGAAACTTTAACATGAATTGGTGATACCAAAAAAAGAATCAAATATAAAAATGGTATTCCTAAAATAGTAGAAAAACGCGCTTTTCACTTGGCAAAAGAAAAGCAAAAAAATAATTAAGTTATCAGTTTATTATCAAAACACAAGAGGTCTGAGAACCAAATTTAAAAAATTCTTGAGTTGTTCTGCTAGCTGTTACTGTGATATTATTTGCGTAATAAGGCATTCACATTGAGCCACTAACTCGTGTTTATGGGCCATTTTGGAGTTTAAGCCTTAACTCTACTCTTAAACTCGGAGCTTACCATACAAAAAATCTCGTTAAACTCTCCTTAAATACCACTTTTATTTGGAGTTTATACGAATGCAACCCTTTTTTTGACCCGATTCGGTTTGTGTCTTTGATAATCCAAACTTGCAACCAACTTGCCGACAGTTAGTCTCTTCCCGTACTGCAGGATTTAATCAGAATTAGTCCGAAGTCGTTCTGTGCACGTAAGTCTAGAATATCAACAATCTAGCGATGCAAAAACCAAAAATGTGGGTCGACAGAACTTTTTGTGCTGATTTCAACCCTACCAAAATTACCTGGCGAAATTAAAATATAAAAAAGATATCAATGGTTAAAGTTAAATATTTTGATTTTTTTAATATTAATATCTTCTGAACAACATAACCTATTAAAAAACTAATGACGTCAAAATAAAGATAATTATTTTTTCTTTCATGTGTGTATATAATTTATATGCCCTTTTATATTTTTAGTCCAGAAATACTAAAAAACAAAATAAAATAAAAATATATATTTTTAAATGTAGTTTATATAAAATTAGTTCTAAAACTGATTATAGTATATACCTTGCATAAAAGGCATTTAAATTATGTTGAAACTAGCATCAATCATTTTTTAATCGGTTAACTAGTTTCCGAGATATTAAACACATAAGAAATAGTTAAGTTGAACTTTAACCTCTTTTATTGGCTTTGGTTTTTATTTGCACCAAATTGGTATGGTTGAAATTAGCGTAAAAAGTTCTATCGATCCTTATTTCTTGTTTTTTTTATAGCTAAACGGTTGGTATTCTAGACTTATGTGTGTGTGTGTTAACTCCTGTAGTACGGGAACAAACTAAATGAGAATAAGAAAAAGTAAACAATAAAATGTCAAATTAAACTCTGAGTTTCTT